CTTCTTTCCTCCTCCCCCTCCTCCTCCTTCCCCTCCTCCTCCTGTATCTGGTACAGGGTTTCACTATGCAGCTTGGACTTGTACTGATCCTCCTGTTTTCAGCCTCCCTAGCGCTGGAATTACAGGCATGCACCATCACACCTGGACTCGGTGGCCAGCTCAACGTACCCCAGAGGCAGGGCTGGCATGGCATGCAGGACCAGGGATTGAACCCTGGTTCCTGTACTTGCTGAAATAGGTCTGTAGTCTGCTGAGCTATCTTGCCAGCAAGATTTCATTCTTTCTATCCTCCCAAATTCCTAATGTCATCCCCAGATCCTAGAACTCTACCTTAGGCTTGAAGCTAATTCCTTCACATTCCAGGATAAGAGTTAGGTCAGATTCTCTTCTTGTTTTATTTTTGTCTTTTGCTATGCAGTTCAGGCTGGCATTGAACTCACTTTTGTAGCCCAGGCTGGCCATGATCTTATAGCAATCTTCCTGCCTGAGCCTCCCAAGTGCTGGGACTACAGGCATGTGCCACCATGTCTGGCTAAGATCCTCTTATTGCACTGACCTTCCTCTCAAACTGAGGCAGGAACTGTAGCTAGTTATTACTAAACCCATTTTCCTTTCTTCTTTAAATTACAGCCTCACTTCACAGTTTCAGGGCAGCCTCCTGACTGACCTCTGTCCAGTGGAACCACTTGGAGATAAAGCCTCAAAACACATCTATCTTAGTTACTTTTCCCATTGCTGAGACTCAGTACAGAATAGTCACAACTTAAAGGAAGGAAGGTTTATTTTGGACCACAGTTTGTAGAAGTTTCAACCCATAGTTGGCTGGTTCCAAACTAAGACACCCTGGCAGAGTGGCATTACAGAGAAGGAGCAACCCATGGCATGGCAGGCAGGAAACACGAAGGATCATGGGTAGAGGAGGGATGTAGCCCTTCCCAGCCACACACACAGTGATCTATTTCTTCAGGTTTCTCCTATCACCTCCAGCTGTAAACCCATCTGAGGACTAATCCAGAGATGCACATCACACACCCATGACTCAGTTACCGCTCCAAATCCCCAACTTTGAAAACACAGGTTTTGGAGGAAATGTAGATATAAACAGTGATAACTGTTGGGAGCCCCAGAAGTGAGGAAATTGATCAAATGTGTGTAGGTGGGACTAGGCTTCAGCGCCTAAAGCAAACAAGCTACCTCAGTCCTGAGATAAACATCCTGTCTGGTTATGGTCAGCTGTTAGCCACTAGGCAACCTTTCATCACAGGTTACTAACTGCAAAACTATAAATAAACATAGGTTTCGTTGTGCATGGAGTTAGTCTTGCCTATCAGGCAGACCAGCAACCACCTCGCTCAGCTTTTGTCTTCTTGTCTATCTTTTCTCATTCCTGCCGCAGTGTCTCCCCAGGTAGAACCAATCGCAGTGAGACCAATGATCCCTACAAATGGTCACTGTCTTACTCACTTTCTTTGGTGCTAGAACAAAATACCTGGCACCCACAATTTAAAGAGAAGTTTAAGGGCTGGCCAAATAGCTCAGGATTAAAGTGCCTGCCAGCAAGTGCAGGGGCCAGGGGTTTGATCCCCAGGCCTGCCGAGCGGACCCTGCTCCTGGGGCATGCTGAGATGACAATTGAGACTGGACATGGTGGCACACACCTGTAATCCCAGTTCTTGGGAGGCTGTTAACAGGCAGATCACGAGTCCGATATAGTAGTGAGACCCTGAACCCCCAACACCCTGTAGACTCTTCCCTAAAAATACCAGAGAGAGAGAGAGAGAGAGAGAGAGAGAGAGAGAGAGAGAGAGAATGTTTATTTGGTTTGTGATCCAGAGGGCCAGCCATCTGGCACCAGAAGAAACAACGTGGCAGAGGTTCATGGAGGAGGAGAGGAGCATAGGGGACAGGAAACACTGCAGGGAAGTGTCTGGGCAGGAGGTACGCCCTCCCAGGTCACGCCCACAGTGACCCCCCTCTTCTAGACCCCACCTCCTAGCAGCAAGCCAAACATAACTCGGCCATAATCCATTCACCTCCCCAAAGCCCCACGTGTTGCATGAGGTGTTCAGGACACATCTAGATATAAATCAGATTCAGGTCTAACCACGGACATGTTTTATCTGGCAGCTAGATGTCAACACCCGTACCAGTTTGGAAGACAGGAGTTGGAGATGACAGAAGTTTTGTCAGCTAAGTTCCTGTAGTAGTTATTCATAGTACAAGATGCAGACATGATATCCTGTCCAAACACTATCTGGTAAAAGTTTCTTAACCTTGGCCTCCTCCTGAATGTCCTACTGACCTTATGCAATTACTGAACATCCTCTCCTTCTCCTGGGCCTGCACAGCTCTGGCTGTCACACGAGTGGACCCCTCTTCTGCAGCCCTCCCTGTAGAAGCTGCTTAGTTTCCCACCACATCCTCCAGGGGGGGCCCAGGAGGTGGCTCAGTGTAATAAGCACTTCCCTGGCAGGTGCAAGGGCCTGAGTTCAATCCCCAGTTCTGAGAAAAAAAAAAAATCCTCCAGGGTCCTGAGGAAGCCAGTGTCACCCCACCCTATTGTTCTTCATGGCAATCCTTGCCCCCTTAGCAAGGTGCACCCGCCACACTGCTGCCTTTCCTCTCCTACTGTGTTTTCACCTGGCCTGCCCACTGTGCCCATGGGTTTTGTTGGCGGACTCCCCCTTCCTCCAGCCCAACTTGTTGCCTCTGCAGATCCCTATTTTTCTACCAACAACAGGCCTTCAGTGTGCCTTGGTCACAGAAGTGCTTGAGTGACATGGTTTCCAGACTGCCACAAAGGCTTTTCCGGTTCTCCCTTCTTCCACTTTTACCTGCATGGCAGGCCTTGCCTATTTCACTGAGAAAGCTGAGGAGCTCTGGCATGGACCTCTCCATTCATCCTGCTGTGTGCGTGACACTGCTTACTTCTTGGCCTTAGAGTCAGTCACATGGCTGCTCTCTGACTTGGATTCACCTTTACTCCCCATCACCCCAAAAGTTTCAACCTATTTCTACTAGTTCCAAAAGAATTTATAAATGTAACCTTGAAAAATAAAACAAAATTCCCAGAAAAAAACAACAACAACAAAACAACCTGCATCCATTTCCTCATATCCCGATCATCTTTTCATTTGTTGTAATTTGGATTTTACTCCCTTCCTAACTTGCTCTGGCAAATCTACCTCCTCTTTCCTCCACCAAATCCAAAACCCTCTTTGTTAGCTGCCATCTTTCTTACTTTCTCTTCTGCATTTGACACGCAGCTCTTATCACTTTGGGCAGCTGCCCTGGTTCTGCTCTCTGGCACTTAGAGGGTCCTTGATCTTCTGCCCCAACTTTAAACCCAGTGTGGCCAGAGGCTCTATCTTTCAGTCCTTTTCTCCTTCTCTGTCACCCCCTGCTCTGCTTCCTCTTTCTTTCGCTCTCAGAGGTGCCACGCCAGTTTTCATACTGACTCCCAAGCTAGCTCCCTCCCAAGCCCCTGGTCAGTGTCCGGAGTTCCACTGGTGTGTCCTCCATGAGGGGGTCATGGGCCCTCCAGGCTCTGTGCATGTAAACTTGAGCTCCTGCTCTACCTCTACTTCACACCTGCTCTTTTGGTTCCCCCAGTGATACCACCTGGAAACCCCCAAGCCAGGAACCCCCCATGCCAAGGCTGCAAGGGCAGGAGCCTGGCATCATCTTAGATAGCTCTCCTGTGCTAATCTGCAGCAAAATTAGTGGGAAAGTCCTGCACTTCTTTGTTTGGCTGCATTTCCCGTCACCCTCACCCACACGGCAGCTCTTACTGTCTCCAGGACAGAGCCCCATAGGAGTCTTCCAACCTGGACTTCCGCCTTCTGTCTTTCTGCTCTTTCTGCGGCCAGTCATCTTTATTGGAGACAGAACTATGAAACTTCCCTAGGCTTCTGTTGCTTAAAGACACTCAAGGTCTGTCCATAGCAGGAGCTCTGAAGCTTGCCAGCGGCTGCCCCTGCCCTGCCCACCTTCTCCTTAGATGTCTGCCCTCCCCGAGGCCTTGCTGTTCCAAAGTCCCCATGCTCCTTCCGGGCGCTGTGCCTTTGCTCTCCCACTGCCTGGTGAGCACCACCTAACTTCTGGGACTGGCTCAGGTACAGCTTCCTCTAGAAAACCTGTTCTGTGTTCAGGGTAGAATGGATTCACTTCCCTTTGGGCCTGCACTGCATTCCTGATATGCCCTGGGGTGGGATGGGAGGAATTTGTCGGGGTGCTCTGTGCCCGCCAGTTATGCCCCTTCATTGCTGTGGACCGGATGCCTCACCCAGAGCCTGGCAGGTGCTCAGCAAGTTTTTCCTGTTAGTGCTGAATGGGAAGGTGGGTATGTGGGAGGCCCTGGAAGGGTTTAAGATTTCCAGTTACAAAAAGGCTGAGCATGGGGCAGTGAAAGTTTATTTACTCAGAGAGGGCCCTTGACACCCACAGCACTTGCTTCCTGTTGTGTGCTGGGATCCAGGCAGAGGGGCCATCAGGGTTGACTCTGCTGATGGCATAGCGACTGTTACTGGGGTGACTCTTCTTCCAGCTGCAGCTGCAGAAAGATACCTGCAAGAGACAGCTGAGCTGAGTGCCGAGGGCCAAGGCCACAAGGACTGGAGCTTGCTGCGGTGCCGTGAACACTTTGCTCCCAGTCTCCCGCAGCAGCTGTCCTGTGGTGCAGGCTGTGTAAGTCCTATTTAACAAAACATCCCAGCTGAGTTGTCCTTCCCAGCTCCATGTCTGCAGCACGTGCAAAATCTCACCCCTTGAGGGCTGAGCCCTGCTTGGGGCCGGCTGCTTAGCACTCTTCCTGCCTCCCATTTGCTTGGGGGTGGGCTGTGGCAAGGCTGGGCTGAGGCGAGGACTTCTTTACCTGAGGACTTGGCAAACACTGTCTGCTGGTCTCTGCTCCGGGCAGTACAGGACATATAGAGCTTCTGGTCCTCAATCTTCTCCACGTGGACGTCCAGGACAGCCAGAGAGCCCACGGGAAGCAGGCTGGGGGAGCAGGCAGCATAACTCATCCCCACCTCCGCACTCCTCTGTACCCCCTGCTCTTCACCCCCTGCCTCTCAGGGGCTGTTTGGTGGGCCCCAAGCGAGGCAGCAAAGACTGTCTCCTGCCAGGGATACGAGTGCTCGGGATTGGGTTGTCAAGGAGGGTGGCAGGCAGAGCTTCCACACCTCAGCTGCCAAGAAGAGCTGCCCTAGTGATGGAAATGCCATGGCTTCGGCCAATGCCCCGGAGCCATACTTACTTTTTTTTTTTTTTGGCAGACCCAGGGATTGAACTCTGAGTCTTGTGTTTGCCAGTCAAGCGTTTATCCTACTGAGCCATCTCCCTGGCCCCATACTTACTTTTTGAACCTGATGTTGAGGCTTAGCGTGAACAGCCCCTCTCCAGCTAGGTAGGCAGTTTTAGAAAAGGTCTCGTCCATCATGGCTGCCAGAGACCCTCCATGGGCGAACCTGAGGATGTGGGTGGGAAACACATCTAGCGCTGGGGCTGCTGGGCAGACGGTCCCACCAGGAAGTGACCACCCCCTGCTCCTCCCCTCCTCAGAGCTTCTTTAGCCTCAGCAGCCAAACTGGAAAGGACACAGCCGCAATCCCAGGGGATCCAATCAGTCAAAATTAGCTGAGCTTTTCTTTTGTTTTGCTTCAGCCTGTGTTAGCGACCACTGACACAAGTATTTTATTTCTCCAGGAAAAAGTGTTCTCACAGCGTTAATGAAAAACATTTTCCTTCTTTGTCAGCTGATTGCCTGCAACAACTGCTGTAATTTGGAAGGGTGCTTGCCCGAAGAGAATGGGAAAAACCCTGAGCTTTTTTGACTTCATCTTTAAAAAGAAGTACAGGATCCTGGGCCACCTCTCACCTTAACAGTCATCACAGCCTGTGGTGGGCCCATGTTTTCAAGACAAGCAAGTGTAGAATGTAACTTACGATATATAAAGTGCCAGCAAAACTGACCTCTGACCACACTGCCCATGGAAAGGTAAGGGCTGCTTCAGCAGGGCTCAGACATGTGCTTCACGTAACCTCTGTTAAGCCCCCGTTGTCCTCTTACAAATGCGGCCTCCATGTCACAGCCACTTCATCATTTAAGTTGGGGAAAATAGAGGAGCACCCAAGTTTAGAATGCAAATGACAAAACAGATTTGAGTTCTTGTTTTTTATTATTACTGTTCTGCTTTCTATTTTGGAAGGGTGGTACTGGGAATAGAACTCAGGACCTTGCCCTTGCCAGGCAGGCGCTTGTGCTGCTGAGCTATATTTCCCTAGCACTATTTTGCTTTTTGAGACAGGTCTTGAGATGTTGTCCAGGCTGTCTCTGATAAATAGCCCAAGGAGGTCTCCAGCTCACAATCCTTCTGCTTCAGCCTCTCGAGGGCTGGGATTATGGGTGTGTGTCACCATGTCTGACTTAAGTTCCTGTTTTTGAAAGTTCAATGGCAATTCTCCATGGACACTGCCAGCTGCACGCACTGCACCATGTGGGCTCGTCTCCTGTTCCTGCCCCAGCCAGCTGCCCAGGCCCTTCACCTCCTACGCTGGTGGGCACTGCTGGGGGCTGTGGCATCGCACATTACCTGTGGAGTCCTTGCTCCACCTGTTTGATCTTGAGCAAGTTGCTAAACCTGTTTGAACTGTAGTTCTTCCTTTTCTTTCTCTCTCTCCTTGCTCTCTTTCTCTTCCTTCCTCCTCCCCCTCTTCTTCCCTCCCTCCCCTCTTCTTCCTTTTCTTCTTCCTTCTTTTTTTTAATCTTCTTTTTCTTCCTCATCCTCTTCTTCTCCTTCTTTTGCAGGACCTTTCCAGCAAACTGCTTACATAGTCCTTTTAAAAAAAGGGTCTTACTGAATTGGGCTTGTGATTCTCCTGCCTCAGCCTCCTGGAGTGCTGGGATTACAGGCATGCACCACCACACCTGGATTAATTTTTCTACTATGAACTGTGAATTGTGGATAAAAATGGACAGTCTTCATCATCCCCTAAATGGACTGAAAGAGGGAATAGTGTTGGTGTCAAAGAATTCTCAGTGTGTTTTTCCCTCCTCACCCTCACTGCCAAGGAAAAGAACCTATTGGCAAGTGTAGGTTCTACAGAGCAGTGCTCAGTCGACCAGAAACTCCCTCCCACTTCCAGTGCCCAAAGGCCTGGGAGACTTCACGTAGTTTTTGCTGGATCCTCCCCAGCCCACTGCCTGGCATGCGCTGGATAGTCTCCATTGTTTTTCTAGCATCACTTCCACAAGCCCCTAAAATTCAGCCACACATCAGCTCCAGTCTCACCTCCTTGGGGTTTCCTTCTTCAGAAGGGAAGGGGCCAATGGCCCAGGAAAGGGAGAGAGCTATTCTCCCATTGTCTGCATGCACTAGTTTGCAGGATAATGTCCCCATGGAGGAGGCTTGGGACTGGCCAAGGGGACAGAAGGATGCCGTGTGCAGCTGCAGCCTGTAGGGACAACGACATCTCTTCCCCACTCTCAGTTGTGCTCAACCCCACTCCAGCTGCTCTCAGCTTCAGGACCCTAAACCTGGTCCTCTGGGAACTCCTGTGCCACCAACTACCTTCTGTGATCGGAGAGGAAATAGGTGCTGGAGAGAAGGCAGACAACCATGCACTTAGTGGCCCGGTAGTCTTCGACAAGAGGCCCCGCGCCAGTCTGGCTTATGCCCAGTTGAATTTCTCATCGGGTCAATTTCAAGTTTGAGGCAGCAGAGTAGAGAGAACACCGTGCTTGGAGTCCAGTTCCTGGAGTCCTAGATCTGACTTGGGCAAGTTCTTTTACCTCTGTGCACCCCAGTTTCCCCACGGGTAAAACTTGGAGTTTGAACAGGTGGTGTCCAATAGCTATCATGTGCTTTATGGCCCGTGAGGATACCCACAGGGGTCCACAGTGCCATGTCTGTCAGTCCCCTTACAGCTAGACACTGCTGACCTATGCTTCAAGTAAGGAGAGGAGAAACCAGATGTTATACAGATTGCTTGCAACAGTGAAGCAGGACCGGAAGTCTGGCTCTTGATTCCAGAATTTGCCCTCTTCCAAATGCATCACATCTTTCTCAAGGAGGCCTCTCAGGTCCTTTATTGCTAGAAAATTCTGAGACCTGGGTAAGGGAGCTCTCTTTAATGCATGGTTCTATGTGACTGGAGCAGGTAGATAAGACAGTGTGTCCTTCCAGGCTTGGCATCTTGAGGCTGAAGCCCTGTTCCTCGCTGGCTCCTAAGAGAGGTGCCGACTCCAGGGCCCCACAGAGGCCCACCCAGCCTGCTGAGCCAAGTGTAGGAGTCCCCACCCCGACCCTGCCTGTGACCTTACCCTGGGGCCCCCTCCAGGTAAGGGCCTGGTTGGAAAAGACAGACGGACCTCTTCTTGGCTGGGTGGAAAAAGATGACGTACTCATAGCCTTGTCCTGCCACCTGGATGCACCTGGTAAAGATGCAGTAGTCACCTTTGTCTGGGGAGAGATGGGCAGTGTCACCGTGGGAGGCAGGAGGGTGTGAGGGCCATGGACCTTGCCGGGATGCATACCCGGGGCTGAGCCTGCCTCTGGCGTGGGGGAACAGAGATAGAGCCAAGGGCACCCAGGATGCGCTCACAGGGAGCCTTCACACTAGGAGCAGATGCACGGTTCCTGCTTCAGAAGGAGCCTGTGTCTGGGGACAGCACTTGGGCGTTGCCTGGCTTGGTGGAGTCAGTATCAGAGCCAGATCAAGACTTAAAACACTGTAGGCATTAAATTTAACAAGGTAATTACTCCTGTGGTCATATGCAATTAAAGACAAAAGTACATAATGATAATAATTTTAAAAAAGACAAAAGTCCAGAGGGCTGGCCAAATAGTTCAATGGGTTAAAGTGCCTGCAAGCAGGCCTGCTGTGCTGGCCCTGCCCCCGAGGTGCACTGAGATGGCAATTGAGAGTGGGCATGGTGGGCATTACAGACCACCTGTAATCTCAGCTCTTAGGAGGCTGTAAGCAGGCGGATCACTACGCGTCTGATTTAGTACTGAGACCCTGAACACCCTATAAACCTTCTCTAAAATACAAAAAACAAACAAAACAAAGCAAACAAACCCCCCACCAAAAGTAGAAAATAGTAAAATAAAGCAGAAATTTCCAAGACAATTACAACTATATACCCCCCCCTTTTTTTTTGTGGTACTGGGGATTAAACTCAGGACCTTGTACTTGCCAGGCAGGTACATAAGCTGCTGAGCTACATCCCTGGCCCTTCTTTTTTGAAAATATTATACTTCTAAAAGAAATTATTTTGATGCTTTTTTTTACCTTTTCTTCTTTTGTCTTCTTCTTCTTCTTCTTTTTTTTTTTTTCTTGTGGCCAGCTCAGCCCACCCTGGGGGCAGGGCTAGTGGGGCATGTGGTGTTGGGGATCGAACCACGGTCCCTGCACTTTTGCCTAAGCTTGCTTAAGCAGGCGCTTTAGACCACTGAGCTATCTCACTGGCTCTCTTTTGTCTTTTTGGGACAGGGTCTCATTGTGCAGTTCAGGCTGGCCCTGAGCTTACTTTGTACCCCAGGCTGGTCTCAAACTTGCAACAATCCTCCTTAGCCTCCTGAGTGCTGGGGTTACAGGTATACACCACCATGCCCAGCATGATGTCCCTGTTTTATGCCATAACCTAAGAGTCTTTTGCCAGCTCTGTCCTCCATTATTTATCACTGGGCATAAATCATACCTAAAAATGATGCAGACAGACAGAAAGGCGCCTGTGCACGCGCATGCGCACACACACACACACACACACACACACACACACACACAGAGAACAAGGTGTTGGTCAGATGCAGGGCTGATGCAGAGTGCTGGTCTGGGCTGAGACCTGTGATAGGAAAGGTTGGTGGTCCGAGGGCTTTGGTGGCACAGGGAGCAGGGCTCAGGAAAAGCTTGGCTGTGAGGAAGCACTGCCTTCAAGAGAGTGGACAGGGTGGGGCACTGAGTCTGCAGTTCTGTGGTGGGCAGGCCTCGGCTGGCAGCAAAGGTGCCTCCTAGGGTGTGCCCTTGTCAGATGGGAGAAAGGGAGCCAGTGAAGTAAGATCCCATTCACCTTTCTCCCTCAGTTGTAGCTAAGGGTGGTTGAAGACAGCTGGAAGAACTTCTGGGCAGAGAACCAGAAGGGGGCCTGTGAATGTCCTTCTGGCCTGCTAACTGCTAGTACAGGCCCCACCACACAGGGTCATTAAAGGCAGGGAGAGGGGGCTGGATAAGCCTACTGGAGAGTCTCAGGCAGGGTCCTGTCAGTGGCGGCTGGGGTACGTGGTATCCACTGGCCTTCCCAGACCCAGCCTTACCTGAGGTAGCTACCAAGCCAGATGGGAGCTTTAGTCCTTGGATGTGGTCTCTGTTGGACTTGAACGAGGGCAGCTTGATCCAGCCTTCTGAGGTGGTCTTCTCCAGAAACTCCTGGTACAGGTTCAGCATGTCTGGGCCCCAGCTGGCATTGGGAAGGGCATAATCTTTCAAGTCTGTCTTCTCTGGGCAGAATCTTGAGACCTAGCAAGGAGAAATCAGGAGGACCAGTTGATGTCCTGGAGGGTGGGACTCCTGCTTGGGTGGTACCTCCAGGTCAATTATTTTTTGTTGTTTGTTTCTTTCCTGGTTTGGGGGATTTTTAGCCTCAGCTCCTGGAGTGTTAACTTAAGGGAAACTACCCATCTTCCTTGAAGATGATTTGGAGACTTCTGTGGGTGACTGAGTCATTGCTAAAGAATCACAGGAGAGGGAAAGGAACAGGGACCAAGAATGACAGCTGTGCTGCTCAGAGACGGCTTGTTACAAGTGTTCAGCTTAAACATCGGTGAATGGTTCTTCTGGCCTGCTAACTGCTAGTACAGGCCCCGCCACACAGATGAGGAAGCTGAAGAAATGTGGCAAAGGCTGTCACTGGCCACCAGGGCAGGTGAGACCACAGTTGATTAGGCATGCTTTTGCAGATCCCTCACCTCAGCGCTATACCAGCTCTGATCACAGCTGTAGGCCTGCCTGGGCAGGGTAGCTCTTTTGAAACACGCTGGGGTACCCTCAGAGGAGCTCCAGGCGGCAAGGACAGTACACCCATCTGTGGAGGAGGGTGTCCTCTATAGTGTCAGCGGCTCACAAACCAATCACAACTGGGAGCAATAAGTGAGCTGCTTGTTAAGACCGCAGACAGGTTCTCTGCAAAATTAGCTGCAAAATTTGCAGTGGAGGAAAGTGATTTGTTGGTGGCCCTGCAATATTCAGACCGGGAGGCTAGCAAGGGTCTGGGTAGATTTACTGTGGGATCTGAGTTGCATGGTATCCCAGAGCACCTCCCCTTTACTGTGGCAAACAGTTCCTCCAATCACTCCTCCTCAGCTCTGGCCACAAGCTGGAAAGAGGCAATTAAGGGTGCTCCTTGGACCCTAGGCTCTGGGGAGAATGTCTGCCCATCTGACTGAGTGGGAACTCACTCACCCGGGAGCCTGTGGAAGATCCAGATGTGGAGGTAGAGTTGAGTCTGGGCAGGATATGCAGAGTCCTGGGCAGGCCAAGTCTAACTGCCACCTGGAAGCCTCTCCTCATCATGGCTAAATGCCTACTTGGAGCTGGGGTGCAGCTGACTCCTGAGGTAACAAGGTAAGAAAGCGCGGTGTGGTGGCACTGGAGCTGTGGGTGCAGCCACCTCCCCTAGCTGCTCCTTTGTGTCACAGGCTTTTGTCAGAATCTTTGGAAAAGGCTGGGCTGGGCTGCTATAACACCCACAGTTGCCTGAGGCCTGTATCTGCCCCAGAGCCCCACCCAGCACTTGAGGAAGGACTGACACTGCCTGGCAGGACTGACCCACGTTAAAAAGAACATGCTGTTAAGGGATGGAATGTGCATGTGCAAGTGGTATGAGGGCCATGGAGCCTTGGGGAGCTACTCTGAAAGAAAAGTGAGGTTTATCCCTTACCTGCAGAGCGCTGGGGCGTCTGTGTGCTGTGAGCTCTGCAGTGGGACCCTGAAAGCTCTGGCATAATCTGGGGACTCAGAAAACCAACTCACAGCACTTAGATGCCCCCTTGCTATGTCCTGGACAGGGTCAGCCAGGGAGGCCTTCACGAGCTGGTCCCTGGCTTGGGGTAGGAGGTGCAATGCATGTGCTGTGTGGGGGTGAGGGCAGAAAATCATCTGAGAGGAAGCAGCAGCAAGGGAACTCGTGTTCGGGCGCATCAGGAGAGGGATAGGAGGGCATTAGAAAGTGCTGGGAGCGAGGTGGGGCCACGTAGAGCAGGCTTTGTCAGGGGCAAGTCTGGGAGCTGTGGGCGGGTAAGTGGGGGAGGGGTGCTCTGCCACCGTCGGCTGAGGTTGGTCTTTGGTGGTATTATTCCTTCTATTGAATGCAAATGGTTAGTTTTCAATGAAAAGCCTCAGTTTTTTAATTTACCAAAATAAAGCATGTTCTAAAGATCAGAAGTGTGCAAAGTAGAATGATGATGATGATGACAATGATATTTTGGCAGATTCTGAAAGATCAAACTGATTTTTTTTTGTGTGGCTGGCTCAGCCCACCCTGGGGGCGGGGCTGGCACAGCGTGCGGGGCAATCGAACCTTGGTCTCTGCACTTGCCTAAGCTTGCCTAAGCAGGTGGTTTAGACTGCTGAGCTATCTTGCAGCCAAAAAAATGATTTAATATGGTAAGTTAATATGGTTACTGAGCCAGGCCATCTTGCTAGCTTCCCATTTCACAGCTCAGAGACAACGAGTTTCACCAAAGAATTTTTTTTGCACATTAAGCAGTGACAGTTAAATCAGCAACTTGACAATTTGATATCTGATACTTCATACTTAATTACTATGCTGAGATACAATGATATTTATAGGATCCATGGGAAATTGGATAGCTTAAGAGGGAAAAGTGGAACTTGCACCAGGCATGGTGGTACACACCTGTGATTCCAGCTTTCCGGAGGCAAGGCAGGAGGATTGCTGTGAGTTTGACAGCAGCCTGAACTGAACTACATAGTGAGTTCAAGGCTGGTCTGAACAACAATGGTGAGACCCTGCCTCAAAAAAACAAGAGAAAGGCCAGCCTGAACTGCATATTGAGACCTTGTCTCAAAAAATTAGCCAACCGGGGCCGGCTAAATAGCTCAGCAGATTAAAGTGCCTGCAAGTAGGCGCAGGGGCCAGGGTTCAATCTCCAGGCCTGCTGTGCTGGCTCTACCCCCGGGGCACGCTGAGATGGCAATTCAGACTGGGCGTGGTGGTGCTCGCCTGTAATCTCAGCTCTTGGGAGGCTGTAAAGAGGTGGATCACTACCAGTTGGATCTAGTAGTGAGACCCTGAACATACTGTAGACCCTTCCCCCTACAAAAAAAAAAAAAAATCAGCCAACCAAACAAAAATAAGAACACTAGAACTTCCAATGCCTGGTACACCAATACTTGCTGGGATTTATTATTATTATTATTATTATTATTATTATTATTTTTAAAGAAAGTGTATTTGCAAGGCACCTAAGCACAGAAGAAAACAAATACCTAAGCCTCAAGTCTGCCTCCCTGAGCATGGGATTCACAAAATTTGTGTACTGATGGGACATACAAAAGCATAGTGTTTCAAGCTGTGGGACAGGTGCCTGTAGGTGGCATAATCAGTGATCTGCACATGTGTAATCAAACTTTATGGCTCTTTCTGTTCAGAAAATCCCAGTATTAGCTAATCTTAGGGTGGAGCTTTGTACAAGACACATCTTGAATCTTTATTTCCTGTCCCCCTTGCTCTGGGTCTTCGGGACCCCTTCCCATCTGCAAAAGAGCTCCTTGTTTGAAGCAAGGATTTTTCTTTTTCTTTCTTTCTTTTTTTTTTTTTGCACAACTGGGGATTGAACTCAGGCCCTTGCACTTGTCAGGGAAGTGCTTATTCCACTGAGCCATCTCCCCAGCCCCAAGCAAGGATTTTTAAAGCCAACTAAAAGAGCAAAGAGGGCTGGAGAGATGGCTCAGTGGTCTAAAGCACCTACTTG